TAGGCAGGACACTTGGGTGACACAGACTGTTATTCTCAGAACTGCATCTCTCTAGTGTCACTGAAGCTTGGGGACGTATTAAAGCTTCAGTTTGCTGCCTCCATTTGGTTCGAGGTCTGCTTTCGCAGCATCGGATGTGTCCTCTCAATTTCCCCTTGATCTCATACCACCTTTGAAGTGATATGGCCAACTGCTCTGGGGAGTTGAATGTGACACTTTGGGGGAGCAGCTTTGGGGAGCTAATCAGTGTGAGATGAGCAGGGCGAGGTAGTCGGGTAATGGACATGGCTCCATAAGCGCTAAGGGCCATCTGAGACGACAGCCATCTCCACTGCTGTACGTAATGCATGTGTTTTTCACAGGCAGTGCCCGTTTCCAGCTCCGGAACACCGTGTACCACCATAGAGGTAGAAGGCAAAAGTTTCGGTGACTCCCTCGCCATTTGTCTGACAGCCCATGGTCTGTCTTGTCTCACCCTTATGTTCGAGCCTCTGTCGATGGCTAGTACCTGAGCCATCAACAGTACCTTTTTGGCCTCTTCGGCAGAGTCCAGTGCAACCCGTAATGGGGGTGGCTTACCTTGAGGTGTGTGGACACCCCTGTACAGCTTGCACAATTTCACTGAACTAATGTTCAGACCTAGTTTATTGCGCAGGTTCGACCACTGTTCCTGATCAAACAGGGCCCGTTGTTCAAGCAAGCTGTCCTTACTCACAGGTACGTTAAAGATGATGAGAGAAATAGACCGATTAACCTCAGACTATGATACTGCACGCCTGGCATTCGTCTGCCTTACTTGATGACGCCTTCGAGGTCTTATGACGTCTTGAGCGTTTCCTTTTAGGTTTACTGTGCTTCACACACTAGCTTTCAGTTGATGCAGGTGTAGTATCCTGTCCCTCTAGTATTGCCTGTGCCGTTTCAGTACCAGACTGTGGCAATGCAGGCGTAGTATCAGGACAGACGAGTCCTACACGAGTCTTTAGGATTGGTATGCGACTTGGGGTTGGTGTCCCTGGGTGTTTGCCTTCTCTGGCCGAAGCCTTTGTGACTACAGAGTAAGGTTTTTAGTGCCATTTCTAAGGTTACTCTCGACAGCCATATTAACCATCACTAAAACTTATGCTGTATGAGAATAAGAGTGCAACAGCATCTACCCACAAGAACGAGAATAAGACTGAAAAAGTACAAGACAAGGATAAGAAAAGGTTTTCGACTTTACCTAGTACTTTCTGGATGATCGGCTTCACAGCAATCACGTGTTAGACCAACAAGTCTTGTTTATCTGAACGAGTGAGGAAGATGCTGCTACAAAAATAGCACCTGAAGCTTTGGCAGTAGTTCGAGACAGCTGAACTTACCACACAGAGATTCAATATGTAAGTAATGGTTGAATTTAATTCACCGGCTAGGAAGATCAGGTTTCCCAAACGGATAATTCACAAAATAGGTATTTTCCGGTTAGAGAGGAAAAAGGACGTCGTATTCAAGGAGCGCGCGCTAGTATATTGTTTTTGATTTAAATCCAAATTGGGTATTAATTTAAAATAAGTGATGTATTGGTATAATTTTGTCCGCATTTTCATCGTGTGTAACACCAGAAGTGAATTGTACTCGGTGCAGTCTAATGGTAATAGTTTATATTTTCTTATAAACGGCTGTTTACGAGAAATATAAGCTACTTTAACAGACACAATCACTTATGTTATAAACTACCACCATGAAGTATTGTAAATTAATACTTTTTAATTGGTATAAATGTATATTCCACAACCGTCATCTAGGATGTGTCGTGGGGAAGGTAATGGGTAATTCACGAGGCAGTTGTATGATATGGGACCAATAATCTTTGTAGATCATTTGTCTTTGTAAGTGGTCAAATGTCTACATTCTTCAGTTTCATTCAAAAATTCATATAGGAGCTAAAAAGTCAAACGGTAGCAGCACAGAAGGAAGCAAGTGGAGTCCTCTAGGAGTGATTTATAAATTTATATATATGTATATATATTCTGTGCAGTAACTATGATTGTTAGTACACTAAGTAACAATTCCTGTTATGCTAACTTTTATATTATGTGTGATCTAATATTAACGTCCTGTGTAGAAATGTTCATCATGTGCTTCCAGTAATATTAAAATTTATAATTTGGTTTGCTGTAACTTATACGTTTAATAGAACTTAAAATATCTATGTAGGGTGAAAAAGAGGGTGTAGCATTCAGACGCATTGTCATCTTTGAGCAGTCTGGTGACTGAGGGGATGAACACTGGAACTGTGTTTGCACCATGCACACCAGCTGGTATTCTATTCCAAATGACTGAAAACTTATTTGAGAAGTTGTACCGCATGTAAGTCTGACAATGCTCTATAGCAACTAGGTTGCCACGGTTTCTAAGATTGTAACTGATGACAGCAGTGGATTTAGTTATTCGCCTGGAGGAGTGCAAGAGAAGATAAGTTAGCTTGTAGTGGAAAATAAGGTTTAGCTTGAGACTTTCTTTCCAGGCTGTTTCTATTCGCAGTCTGTCGCAACGCTCAAAGTAATCGAGACCACATTCTAGACGAAGAGTTCTTGAGGTAAATTGCCATTGCACATCCTCTAATTTGAACTTCTCATTCTGTCGCAGTCCGCTAAGAATAAACGGGCAGTATTGTAAAATAGGTTAGGCACATACTTTGTATAATAAAACCCTGGTTTCACAACAGAAGAAAGTGCGAGTTATGCATCCTAGAAGCCTTTGTGTTTTACGTCTAGCATAATCAGTTTGTTGAGAGAACGTTAAATTACTAGAGTATCTGATACCCAGATCTATGACTGAGTTGATCTTGGGTGGTTTACGCCCATTTATTGCAAGATTCAGGTCAAGGTTAGTGTTGCCAGTACAAATCCAGCCGCATTTGTCAATGTTGAACTTTAGACAGGATTCAGCACACCACGTAGCAAGATGTATTTTACTTACCATATCGTTAGTAGGGGTAAACGACAATGAGGTCGTCTGCGTATAGGAATGATTTACCTGAGGTGAAGCAGTTACAAATGCTATTAATGTAGACTCCAAATAAAAGTGATCCCACGAAACTAACTCACGCAACCCAACCTGTGATCTGCCTAGGATGAGACCATACTGCCCGACTTTGGTGGTCTGTGCCCTGTTGCTTAGAAATGACTTACACCAGTTCAGCAATGGATTGCGAATTTCATATTAGCACAGCTTCTCAAAGAGAATACTTTAAGATACCATGTCAAATGCCCTATATATATTGAAGTAGAGAACAACGACTAGCTTACGTGCTTCGCGACTAATAGTGATGCAGCTGAAAAAGTCGAAGTAGCTAATAAATTTTGATCGGATATACGGTACAAGTCTGCTGGGAACTAACCCACAAAGCAGTACATTCGAAACCCTTACAAGGACAATTTGGATAAGAACAGCTCTCTGAAATGCCCCTCATAGGGCTGACGACAATTTATCGTATTTTTGTTGGCGTGTTCACAGCCGACTGATTACCTAACTCGACGTTGTGAAATAGTTCGTCAAGATGCCGCCAATCCATGAAGTCGTTTTTCTTTATGAGAGTTGAATTAAGTGCCTCATATGGGTTACCTACCTCTGGGCTTGAAGAATGCACAGTTAGGCATTTGCTTAATTCCCAGAGTAGAGCGTGCGTAACTGCGAGACCAAGCCGACTGAAATTATACTGGGCTATCTGAAACCATGAGTCCGAATGGCCCAAATGGCACGAGCTGGACAGAGTTGCTAGTTGTTTGGATAAGGATGCGGATAGACGTATAGTCGCTCATGGAAAAATATATTTCAAAATTAGTTAACATGACGCAAGAACAAATACAAAATGGAGCGAACTCATCGGATTTGTCTGCGTGTTCGCGATAGAGCTCACAAATTTAGAGGCTGTAGGTGGTGATGTTAACGAATAGTGTGAAGCGTACTCGTGCAAGATCCAATACCCACAACATCTACTGTAGTCATTACGCGTTGACCAAAAGCAAAGGAAAACGACGTAATTGACCGTCCAAATAACGAGTTATATTTCGGGACCAAATCGGAGTGCGAGGTGATTACTTAACTTGATAGGGATCATGCACGAATGAAGGAATGTAACACGACTGCTTGCCAATTAGCGTGGATGCTTGACCGTAAGTCTTCAGATGAGCGAGTCAAATCAAACAGTGCGGAGCAGCATCCAATGTCCAGTGATGAATGCTGTGGTTGATAATTTTGGGGAATTATCTGCCACTACACTGTAAATCTCCGTCCCTTTATCCGCAGAATTATAGATTTTCTTTTTTAGTGGTCAAGGCTTGCGCCTTGCCCGTTTTTATTACGGAAAATCTTTCAGACGTTAAAATTGTCATTCTTGTAGGCACAACAGTAAGCAAGTAAAGTGGGGGAAAACTCAGTCAAACAAATATAAGTGTATTCATGATCCTATGCCACTCAGTAAAGAAAGCCTTACAAGTCATAGGGAAGATACTGTTACTTCTTGGGTAGTTGTCTCACCCCTTTAAATTCTTCTAACCAGTAACTACTTCTGAGTGACTGCAGGCTACAGCGTTATGGAAATCCTAGTCTTCTACGTCCAAGGATATTTACTAAGTGGGTCGTCGTGAACTGCTTTCAAGATTCTATAATGTTCCTGAAAGAAAGTATGCCCGTAAGCAGCACTGCCATTGCTATTTATCAAGCTTTAAAGTGAGTTTGAGTAACGTGAGAAACTGAGACTTTCGACCTTCATCATTAGCATTCGCTAACTGCCGCTAACGTGCTAAGTCATTATCGTGGGCTCAAAAGTTCCCGTGTGCTAACTTCTGACTTGAACATAATCAATGTTATTCTGGTAGTCCAAACCACGCACTAAAGGGTGAATTTCAAAGGAAACAAGGGAGAATACAACCAGATAAATAACATTACTGTATTGTGGGGCAGAATAACATTAAACCAACATGGCGAAAGTCCCGAAACCCCCTGTGAGTAAGAGTAGAGTGAAATGGATCATATTCATCATCTGCGAACAAAGTATAAACGACGGTTCAAAGAACTTTGTCTGAATGAAGATAATACGGAAAAAGAACACGATAGTGGATTAAGCCACTTAATGGTCACTAATTATAGTCTATCGAATGACACTGTCACTTTTTCACACACTCTTATCTCCTCTGTTTGCCATTTCATATTCCATGTAATACCTGTGTTTATTTTGACCTGTTATTGAACAGTCACAGTTGGCGGCTATTTTATCTATTGTGTTCCCGTTAATATGGCTCTTAGGGTAACTTTTAGGTTTATGACTTATATCAATATACTGACTTGTAGACAGGAGTTCGTAGTTTCAGCATGCTACGAGAGATTGTCAAGCAACCTGCGTTCATCAAACCATTGAAAGAACAATTGGACCACATCGATCAAGAAGGAAAACCTGGTGCTCTATTGCAACCAATGAAATTAGATAATCCTCACAAACTGGCAGCCAAGATGGTGTTATTCATGTGCCTCAGTTTCTTTCAGCCTTTTGTGATCACATATATGCACATGAAGGGGTGATTTTGCTGCCGCAAATATAGTTAAATACTCTCCATTTGTTTAATAGATTAGAGTGGTACGTTGTCATTATTACTTTATATACCAGTCTGTGCAAATATTTGTTTTGTTTTGGCTTATCTTAACCCAGAATATTTTAGCTTTACGTGTTTGGGCGAAGCTAGAGAATTGCGTTTATTAGATTGAGAAGTTCAAATGTAGCAGCTACCCAAACCGAATATTCCACTGAGCTGAAGTAAGCAGTCACAATTAAGGAGCGATAAAATTTTCAAAGTTGTTATAAGTTGCCCAAAGTTCATAGTCTCCTGGGCACATTTTTCCTATTGCCGATCCCCTTCCTGAATCTACTCCGAAACCCCGATCCTCTCAAAACGTCGGTTATCCTGTCAGACTTGTGCCACAAGTATGTGATTTAGTAACTCCAATTAGTTACTGCTAATGCAACGTTTGGTCATCATGGGACTTGTTAAGCAAATCCGGGTCGCAAGTTGTGTGAGGTTCTCGTATGGGAAGTTGTAACTTTTCGAGACAACCGTTCAGTTGGTCTGTGATATCTAAGTCATCCTGGTTTTTTGTGTGCATAAGATCTCCGACTGGAGACGTGCTTGCATGAAAATTCGCCGTAATATGCTAACTTAGTGTCTATGATTACATGCTTTACCTACTACATTTAGTAAACGTTGTGGACAATAGGCAGAAAGTTTATGAAGTTAATACAACGTGACTTAGGTCTCATATCTCAGTAACCCCATGGGTACTGTGGCGGAAAAGTTGCTAGGGCAGCGATTAGGTTACAAGCCGTTGTTACCATTGTGTAAATCGATGGGGCCCAAAAGTCGTGTTACTATGGTAGACACCTAACAACCAGTTGCAGTTTCTCTTGCCTCTGGGAAAGGGGGGAGTAGAATGTTGCATAATGAGGCGATCCATAGTCTGTGAAGAGGTATTCATGCTTACACTTCAGAAGTGTCTTGACATTTTTTGTAAAACACGCCTTATATTGGGATCATGGATAATCTGATAAGATCTCGAATACATCAACGGAGAGAATGGTCAACGCACCTTTGATGTAGGCTGTGAATTTATTAGGATCTGTAGGTGGATATTACATAACGAGGTAGGAAGGAAAATAAGGTAGCTATGTTACGAGAACTGTTCAGAATTAGCATAATAACAGCAATAATTCTAATAGGACGGGGTAAACAGAATTATCAGACAAAACCGAAATAGGCCAAGATGGAAAGATGTACTGTACGCACTTCTACTGTACATAGAAGGCTGACTTAATTTCATGATAAGTCGAGGCCTCTTTTGGTGTGGAACTAAATGGGTCCGGCAGTTTCTAATTAGTCGTAAAGCCATCATTATAGTTGGCTGGGGGACAGGAGTCGACCAAATGGGATTTCTCACGCTTCTTGCTTGTGAAATTATGCGCTCGTTAAAATATGAAGGGCGTTCTGTCGGTGTACCCTGTTCCACTAAAGCAAATAAACTGGTAGGTGTGCATACAGATGGCCAGACAAAGAGGCTTATTTAGCGTACGCAGAGAAGAGGTTCCGTTATTGAAAATCAACGAGTTTTGTGGTAACGAACATCTTGCTGATCACTTGGATTCCAGATTCATGAAGGTGGTTTTCTTTAGAAGTGGGCTGGTAACCAGTTTAAAATGCCTACCGTTCATTTCTCTAATAGGACGTTTGGGATAACCGTTTTAATCAAGAGTGACGCTTAGGGAAGACATTAGTTAACGTAGTGTGAACGCCCATATCAGGGGGGGGGGAAATAGATAAGGTTTCCTGGAAAAAGACCCAAATATGAAAATTGGTTAATTGTTCATCCAATGTACGCTTTTGATGGTTAAATACCTTAAGAGATCCATCGAAACATTCTGTGAGGAACTTATTAACAAGAAATGTTAAACTCGTCCTTTCCAAAGATGAATTCAAATAATGGTTGGCAGTTTGGTGGAAACAACAACATCCATGTTGTATATGATGGACGTGCCATCGAGTTTGACTAATTTTGTGTTTCCAAGCTTTGATATGAAACAATAAAACTGTAATGGGCCCAGAGATGATCCCAACTTTTCGGTCAACATAACTCGTTAAAGTCGAATTAGATGTTGGATGTGCACCTCAGTCAGTCCTCCATCTCAGTTACATACATCGATATAGTCACATATATAGCAAATGGTTTCTTCAAGGGTCACACTAGTAAAACAACGATGTCGCATCTAGTGAAAATATGAATCCACCTGATGCATTGAAATCTCCAATAACCTCAGCAAATTGTAACGTGTCATTAATGGAAATTAGTTGTTTGTCTTCTTAATAGTTCCGGTATTTCGACTAATTATTGATCAATATCTTGATAAAGAGAACCCAACACTTCCAGACTTGGACGGATAAGTAATCCTGTTTTATTCATTAGTAGAAATGGATATCAAAATTATTCTGGAAAGGCCTGCGGCGTAACCATGTCGGCACAGTTTCTAAAACTTCAAAGCATCATGCACCTAACTTTCGTGTAATAATCTATTTTTCATCATATGGTACTCAATTATGGTCTTCATCACAAGTATTTCATCATGGAAAGGCACACATCATAATAGTCATGCTGTCTAGGGGAAGTAGAACAATTTTGGCCCAATTTGACGGGAGCTGCGGAAAAATAGGGAATATTTAACTGTAAGTTACAGGGAATGTTGCATCATGAACATTGTACTCGGGTATCAACTTTGTTGTGGAGGTGGGACTCGGTCTTTGACACAGAAAATGCGTTTCGGGCAACTGGGTTCTAACTAATTTATTGTAATTAAGCCCTTGTTATTATATTTGCATTAGCTGTGTATGTTTGTTATTTGTGCCTCCTCACCACTTGTCCTTAACATTGTGGTTCACAACATTCTCCAGGGATGTTCACAGAAGTTGTAGGTTTGCTGTATCTGATAGCTAATAACTGGTCTTCCAATGGCTACTTAGCAGCTGTACAGTTACTCTGCACTTTCTATGCATATGATATGTTTTATTACACTGAAGTGATGTAGAACGGACAAATTAATGGGAATTCGCCTTCGTGGGTGAATTTTCGAGAAAAGTTGCAGTTGCGTATCTGGAAATTTGAGTCAGTGTAATGCGACAGATGGAATCAGTAGCGTCCTGGATCTCGCTTGGTAATAAGGTGTGGGTCTACAGCACTTCTATGCGGGCACTTCTGCTCTGCATTTGTGCAGCATGGTTTGTGAGGATTGAGTTCCTTTAGTAATTTCACCATTGTCTTTGGCTGATTGCATGTATTTAGTGCTAGCATCATTATGTAGCTCTGAGATCTAATGGTGCATGCTGGTTTTGGATGGTAACAGATCAATGTGGGAGACACCAGACCGACCGTAGAATGATAGTAATATGTTAACACAACATCTACCTTTTCAGGATATTAACAGATAATATCTAAAAATTATGTCACGTAAGGGTAGTTTGGTGCTTTTTAGTTGCACTGACAGTTGAGGTTCATTAGTGCTAAGTGGACAGTTATCTCCACTGTTTATGTACAATGTTTCGATTGAATTGTGTCATTTACAGCCAGGAATTAAGCTTGGTTCTAAGGATCAAAACGAATTCTATTGTCTAGTAAGGCACCAGGACGGTTATGTTTGTAATACCAATGGTCTAAATTTCTCTGAAGCACTTGAAATAGACACGAAATTTTGATTACGAAAACAATATAATCACTGCCAAGTCACGTCAACATTTTGACTTTCAGTCCACCAAGTTTCCTGAAACCGAACTACAAGCGTACATATTGGACAGTGAAAAGAACTGTAGACTATGTATGTCAAAAGCATTTATAACTCGAGAATCATATATACACAAAACTTAAGTAATTAAAAAAACACATTGCATTAACTAGTTGCTGATTGTATTAATTCAGAATTCTTAGATGATTCAGACTGCCGAAGCCACTGCTGCTTCAAGAGGTTGTCTCTGGAAGCACTTCTTTTTCCTCTTGCAACAGCTTCAGAAAACAGCGCACAAAACAGACGTACGGATGTTGGGCTGTCATCGTTTCCAGGTACAGGATAAGTAATTAATCTGGGATCAGAATTGGTATCCACAACACCAATAGTTGGGATAAGCATTTTTGCTGCGTCTCGTACGGCAGCATGTGGCCTAGATATCGAGTTGCAAGTACTGAGAAAAATGACTAGGTCTGGTAGCCTCACTGAGTCGTGAAACACATTTGATGAGTTTGTGAACACCCCTCCCTCCCACTTACGACAGTACGAGTACTCACCAACAGTTTCGGCAGTTCTTTCAACAAGAGGTAACATCTAGAAAAAGCATAGACAGTAGAAGAAATTTTAAATAATAACTTTATGCTCAAAGGACGGATACAAACAGTATTGCATAACAAACAATGAATGAATCTAGGTGTGACAAGGCAGGGTGCAATGAATCAGTTTAGATGATACGAATAAAAGCTTTGTATAATCGATTTTCTTGCAAACGAATTATATCTTGCACTTAATATCGTATGTAATACTCTGATTTTATTTGGCTGATGGTGGAATCTAGGATGCGCATTTCAATCTATTTACACTACTTTCAATTCCACAAATCTTGTGGTATTAGAGAATCTTCATCATCTCAGTGTAAATCGTAGACCACTACATACGTGAAACTAACAAATTACACAATTTATGAGTAGGGTTGCAAAGTACGGAAAAGCAAAGTACAAGTAGATTTGCAACTCAAATACATAAAACAAAAAAGACAGTTCTTAGCGTTAAAATGATGGGAAAATTACTTGTACAATTGTGATCGTTGATCACTTTGCGAATGTAAAGTAGAACTTATGTAGGGCATAGAGAAACTGCACTGAAAAGTCATTATCGGTACACAACACACCGTGAAGTTTCGCAGAAAAGTCTCTTTGATACAACAGAAGAAAAGCTCATTAAAGTACTCAATTAGGAAGACAAGAATGACAATTACTAACTTCCTTGAAAATGAGGGAAAGATTAAAAGCGAATACATTTCAGTTACTAATGAACGACTTTGAACCATACGACATCGTCGACCGCATATTTTTTACGCCATTAAGAATCTAATCAAGCCCCCTGTATTTCGGCATGCAGCTCAGAGGATTAGATCAAATCGGCTCCTATTTAGCCTAATTTCTCTTTGTTTATTATGAGATGCTTGTGTTAATCACTGGACAAACGACACATCTCCTTGTTATCTGTTTTAACCAGTGAAATCTTATGATTACTACTAATGGTTTTTAATGTAAGGTAGTTAAAAAAGTGAAATTACAAACAATTATTTTCCTTGATAAACTTGGGCAAACAAAGAACAAATTAAACAGGGTAAAGTGACATCATTATATTTCAGTGGTTCTTCTCATCTACATGAAACCGTAAACAATTTTTATATAGATGTGTAGATGTGCAAATACTATAGTTATGGATCATAAAGATTGTATGCAATCAAGAAGAACCATTTTATCCTGCTCAATTTGTTCTTCTTTCTTTGTTCAAAAATAAAATTACTATAGCAGAAATCACAAGTACAGTCAAAATATCTAAGCAGACTAGACAAGTAAGCTTTTGCACATTTAAAGTTGAATTGATCGAAAGAGTGAATCAGCTAAACATGTATCATAAATTGTTATTCGTTCACACCCACGCCTTAGATAAAACGCGATACTAATACTCCATACTCACAACACGATTCAATAAGGCTAGAGGTTTGCATGCTATCTCCCGACTTAAGTGGTATAATATGGTGAGCCTAGTTATGGTATTAAGTAAGGAGAGGAAGTAAATGGATGAGAAAGTAAAGTTACATCGATTGAGAAAACTAAGACACGAATTATGCATTCAAAGCCACCCCTTCCTTCAGGAGTAATGTTAGTTGACATAAGATTATGTTTGAGAAGAACTTGTAGTGGTTAGATCAAAATATGGCATCAATCTACGATTTCTTTGACTACTGATGTGAGCCACATGGAGATATAAACTGCTTGTTCTGTAGTCCTCAAGAATTTAAGAACTAACAACTCAAAACTGTCGGTGATACGGCTCAAGATCGTTCTTACAGTACGGATGCATTCACTCTTTGTGATTTTCCAGAATCATTAAATTCTCACTACTCTCCAAATACTCATCCTTCCTCACGCACATCTCTGTGCATCATAGCTTTCTTGTAATATTTTCTCTACCTTCGTGTCTTACATCGTACGAACATTCCATGTCCCATGCTTATTTTGCTTTCACTAACAGAAGACACATCTGTTGACTGGCTTTTACAAGCCCGCCTAATTTTGTCTCTTTGATTCCAGCGAAGATTAAATTTATTTTCTACATTTTTCTTGTGCATCGAAGTTTCTGCGGTACAAGGAGCAAGCTCCAAATTTTTAACACTAGTTTCAAGTCATTGCTTCTCAATTCTTCCAGAGACTTTGGGCGCCCCTCACCGAAAGTTTGTTGTGGACCTCCCTCGATAGCTGCCTTCGGTCGATACCAAATACCAGATACGCATCAAGGATATGCAATGAAAATTTCTGGCAGTCAGCGAATCAGCTAAGAACCTATTGCCTAACATATCTGCAGACGGAGGTGAAGGTGAACTATAGACATAGGCTGAAAAGACCATCGAGCTACATCACTCTCCAATCCTTCGAGTGGAAGGCGACAGGTTGGGCGCCCAAGAGTCCCGTGGTTGGTTTACGTGATGAATAAACCGAAACCTGTGGGCCTTTGTTGAGCCATCTGACAGTGATGACGGATAACTAATTGCAATAGAGATATGCCGCTGAAGCCTAATGTTTCACTTGGAACGCAAGAAACGAGTGGTAATAGCAATAGTAATTTCACCAATAAGATGGCTTTTGCAGTTTGAACCCACTGAAATACATTTTAGCGCCCTTATTATTTTTAAAGAAACGGAAACTACAATGGTTCGGCCACACGGTAAGACATGACACATTGTCCAAAACGATTCTACAAGGCACAGTAGGAGGAGCACGAAAGAGAGGTCGACCGAATAAGAGCTGGCTTGACAACATAAAAGAGTGGACTGAAATGCCCTTGGATACGCTACAGAAAATAGCATTAAACCGAGAAGAATGGCGAAGACTGATAGCGCGAACTGTCATAGCACCCCCACGACGAAAGTCAAGGGACTGATGATGATGATGATTATTTTGCGACAGCTACCGACATTCCGCGGTCTATAGATCCGTTTTCTTGGTTAATACTCTTAAAACATTGCCTAAATTCTTTACTAATCCATTTTGAATCCTTGTTCATGCCTCAAAGTCACACCCTCCGATAATCACATATGCAAATTCACCTCTTTATATTTGACTAAATAGTCTGTAACACTACTTACCCTCCGGCTTGTCTAAGCTAATCAGTGTGTATAAGCAAAGGCTACAAAAACGTGCAGGCGTTTGCCAAGATGTTTCTTAGTTTTAGTAGTAATACTTGCTTAGACAGTACACTAACTGCTAACTGAGGTTCAGTAAAGCTGTGAAGAACGGTCAAGTGAAGCAGTAGTTTTTAGGCGATCAATGAAAAGCTCTAGGGTAAGCTGAAGTGTATAATTTTTGAGGTCGACACTTTCCGATTCTCCTTTTCAAAAGTAGTAAGTTAGCGTAGGTGGATTACCGATCATCCGGAAAAAATGATCTAATGCCTCCACATCGACTCTGAAAGCCGTGTTCAAATAAGTGAACGATATCGTTGTGCATTAAGTACTTTTTACATTTTGAAGCACACTTCAAGAGATAAATTAGCTTACTAGTGTCCTCAAAGTCCGTATTCATAAAAACATGCAACCAGGAATTAAAGGTATATATGTACGTTAGGAATGAATATTTTACGCATATGGTAATGATTAACAATATTTTAAAAGAATTAGATAACACTAAGCGTTACTTACTTGTTTATTAGAATACATAAAAAGGATTATGCCTTGACGATAAGCAATATGTGCTGCGAAGTTGAGTGCATCAAACAACAAAGAATGTGTTTGATCTAGATCAATTATATCTACTCCTTGCCTGCAACCGTATATGTACGGTATCATGTAGTCATTGCGAAGCACTGATCGATGACCAAAATGGACACGTGCATGAAATAATTCAGGGATGCTGACCAGATTTTTAAGCCCAAAGTAGTCGGGACAATTGAGAGGATCCCCGATGGAAGAAGGCAATGATTCAGGATTTTCTCTAGGCTTAACAGGTCTACTGCTAGTTACCTTTCTCGTGAAAAATGACAGTGTTTCTAAAACAAAGTTAGCGAAATGGCATCAAAGCAAAGAAACTAAATATATAACATTCCAGCAAATGCATGAGACGACAATACTAGATATGGTCAACTTTAAAATGAAAGACTTACTGGCTTTTGTCAGAAGAACGAGTCTTAAAGACCGGTTAAAACGCCATTTACTAAAATGTTATTGTGGAGTATTCGCACAGAAACATGTAAATAAGGTCACTTAAAATGAAGTGAACAGTCGCTTAGAAGGTCAGCAGCAAATGTGGAATTGAATATTCTTAATGTAAGAGCAGAACCGTTTGAACTGTTACCTGGAAAAGGTCTTTTATGTCCCGGGATAGGAGCCACACAGTATTGGTAGGCTGACAGAGTTACCCAGTTATTTAGGCTGCAATATGTCGAATACTGTTCGAATCCGGCACTCTTCAAACACAATATCTTAAGACAAATAAAACCGTAAGTTAATTCTTCTGGACAGCTCAAGCATAGGTGGTCTTTTATTTGTGTTTAGTGTTATGAAATTTAAGAGGCATTTTAAGTGTTTTACCTTTGAACTGGTTATATTAGCAATATGACAAGTCGTTGTATTTGTAGATTTCTTTTTTTCAACACAATGTTTGTTTGGAAAGTGTATGGTTATAGCCTAACTTTAGACTCACATCAATGACAAAGAAGCATTTCAAAACCGTAATAAAACCTATTCCTCACTCGGTTAGCATTCAGATATGGATTTTGAAGGCGATTAACTTAACCAGTACTAGTAACCTCATAAAACATGATTTAGATGCTTTAATAAAAAGCCTTCAGTCAAAGGGATAAATGAACCAATGCTTAGGATAATGACGGACATTCTAGTGAAGCAGGTATGCACATAAAAGCAAATATCAATAATAAGATAACTTATTGTGCATTCGAATGTGAATATTTGAACATTTATGTTTGATTAATAGATAGATATGAAACAAATATGAAATCTACTCTTGTGTTTGTGTAATAACTGGTTAAGATAATGAGATTTAGAAACTAAGTACATATTCATGGATTTAATTATGAGCTGAAGACATTGATTCACAGCTGGTAACACAGTATATCCGCTCAAGATTCTTTAAGTAGGTTGACGTTAGAACCAGGGACCTACAAATTAGGAATCTATTTACAACTTTTTCTAGTCACAGCCGCATCATACTGGTGATTGGCTGAATGTAAAAACTACTTATCCTAGCATCACCTTTAGTATTCTGTGAACAGTAATATATATATGTATATATACATATATATATATATATATATATATATATATATATATATATAGTTTTCGACTCTTAGAAAATGATCAAAAAGAATCGGTAAATTTCAACAGCTTCTTCAGAAATAATGGATGGATGCACTAGGAAGGAGTCTAAGCTTCGAGCACAGCGAAGGACAAAAACAAACTAAGTATAGACTGATAAAGAGTCATGAGTGATGATGCACAGAGAATATATAAGTGGAAATGATATGTATCAACACACTACAGTCCGGGTAGTTATAGAAACTGGCAGTTGTGAGACTACAACCAAGAAGGATACGTTAGTGGTTTAATAATAGGGGAGATATACTGAGCACCTTACAAAATTGTTCAACTTGCTTTGTTACTTTTCCATCCTCCACTATGTAGTCACAACCTAAATAGAACATTAATATTATACCTCCAACACTTAATTAAACATCAAAGAAATAAGGTAGTGGTATCTGATGAGTGGCTTCTATTGAGATATAAAGATAATACAACAAGTGAAGTCTTAACTGTGTTATTGGTATTGGATATGACTTCTGGTCGTTGCCAATTATCCTGAGGGGATTTTTAAAGCAACAAACTCGACTAAATATTCATCCTCCGCCAGGTTTCTGCCTAACATCGTGATGAAATCTAAACACATTTATTCACTTGTGATCAATACTGGTCAAAATTTGTTTGCTTTTGTGTTAGAACTCAGTTACACGGTAGCAAGCTATGAACAACTTTTATTGCGTGGGAGATGATGATAATATCCATTTACCCAAACTAAAGCATTATTTGTTAACTTGGATACGTAAAAAGGATTATGACTACCACCACTTTTTCCAACCATAAGTATGTTCAGATGAAGAAGACTAATTTTACCACTCGCCTTTCACTCAGTCAACGACAGTCTAGATTACGCAGATTTCTTTTTACTTTATGAAAACAAAAAGCTTACCGAAAGTGTACAAAATCTTTCCACAGTTGTAATTTGTAAGGATAATGTAGGATAACATTTCAAACGCAACCTGTTGTTGCCATATTTGGGTCAGTTTGGGTTAAAACTTGGGTGGGTGAAGTCTGGCCCTATGTTTGCGATAAGGTCTGTCACGCCTCTAGCTCTGAATATAAGTCCAGTAATTTATTAACAGGCTAACTTTGAAGTAACACTGAAGCAACCAATTGCATTATTCATCACGAATACCGCATATATAGTGAGCTTATAGTCAGCTCTTGACTAGCACACTACAGTATGCTTAACTAAAATTTTCATTCTATGTATCAAACGAATTAACCTTGCAGGGTCTTAAATAATGAAGAGGCATTAGCACTGGACTTGGTGAAAAGTTCTGGAAGAAAGGATATATGCTGAGTTCACACTCCTTCGATTATAATTTTCCTCTAGAAACCGTTAAATTACCGAACATCCTGAATTAGCTGCATCAGTTTCTTTGACACTAGCAAATTACATAAGACAACTAATTACCAACAACTGCTGGTGATCAGTGTAGGCTTGAAGTACTATTTATTAATATTATTAAAAGCGTCATCACAGATGAAATGAAAATAAGTACTAGCCAGAAATCAGATGTGATATTACAATAAAAAGTAATTTTTTTCGAACACAAGTGTGCAAAGTTCCATACAAGTGAAATACACAACGTACTACGACAACACTTCCCTGCAAACAGCATCTCAAGGTCAAAACCAGATAGCGCTCTGGTCCTTCAAGGTGATCTAAATGATTAAGAAAAACTGTGGACTCATCTTTCATTTCATCACCTATATCTTCAAGTCATATATGGTATTCTAACATATGGTAAACGGTAGCGAACACTCTGCTGTTTGGATTACACATTACGAATTAGGTCTCATGTTGGTCAAGCATAGTGTGGCGGTAAATAATTCCCCAAAATTATTGACCACAGCAATCATCACTCAACATTGGATGCTGACCCTCACTGCTGAAGTCGAATTGTTTAGCTGAAGGCTTCCGGTCAAGCATCCCCGCCATTTGGTACTCCGTCGTGTCACGTGCGTGCACGATTACTAGCCAGCTAAGCATTCACTTCAACTCGCGATTTGGTCCCGAAATATATTACGTACTTTGGACAACTAAATCTGGTCTTTTGCTTTATCTTTGGTACTCGAAGAACGAACACTATAGAAGTTGTTGGTATAAGATCTTGCGTCAGTATAATCCGTAGAACTCGCGAACGTCGATACCTGCAACCTCTAAACTGGTGAGCCCAACCACGAACTACATCTTCAATTCACACGCAGATAAACCTGACGAGTTCGTTCCTTTTTGTGTTTATTCTTGTACTATATTGTTATCGGCACACTTTTCGTCATGACTGACCCTAGCCCCAAGGTTGTTCGCATACGCTCAACCGCCAAAATAATTCAGCTTGTACCATATTGGCCAGATAATGCTGAAACGTGGTTTCAGATTTCTGTGTCTGGTTTTTGTGAACATGGCATAACCGATCAACGTTCACAGTTCCTTGCAGTTATTCACGCTCTACCGCGGGAATTCAGCAGGTGCGTAACTCTGCAGATGTCGGATCCAGAGGTAAGTAACTCGTACGAGTTGCTCAAAGCATCCCTCCTCAAGAGAAACGTTCTCACGGATCGACAACGTCTGGATGAGTTATTTCGTAACATCAAGTTAGGGGATCAGTCAGCCGTGAGCATGCTGGCAAGAATGAAAGAGATATTTGGCCAAAGTCCGTTCGATGAAGGACTGTTTAGAGAACTATTTTTATCCAAACTGCTACAGTCAGTTCAGACTGTACTTGTGACACTTCAGGGTGTTCTCATGGATGACTTAGCTGTCTCTGCAGATAGAATTCTAGAGATAACGAAACGGCCAGTTACCGAAGTATACTCAGTTACCGAACAGGCTTCGAAGAAGGATTCTGCAATGATAGAGTTAATCAACTCCGTCCAGCAGATGCTTAGGTCAAACAAGCCTGGCAATTCCTCCTATCGTCGTTCTAAATCCCCTCAACGGCTAAACGCACGTGGACGATCGAAGTCCAACACACGTTCTCTCAAAAATCCTGACTGGTGTTGGTATCACAACACCTATGGCAAGGAAGCGAAATGTTGCCGAAAACCTTGTGATTTCGGCAAAGCCTCCAAGTCTGTGGGAAACTATCCCGCCGGCACGCGTTAGCAGCAACCGTCGCCGGTGGCACTAGCCGCTTACTTTACATCCATGATGTAATGAGCCAGACTAGATATCTAGTCGACACAGGCGCCGAAGTCAGCGTCCTTCCTGCTACAGCAGCAGATCGACAGAAGGATCCTAACTTCAACCTACAGGCTGCAAATGGAAAACCAATTGCAACCTATGGTCGGAAATACGTCTATCTGAACATAGGTTTACGCAAACCTATTCAGTGGATTTTCCTAATCACTGACGTCACAATGCCCATCATCGGCACGGACCTACTTAATCATCATGATTTGCTCGTAGACGTCCGCCGTAAACGACTAATTGACAACACTACTAGTTTGTCTATCAAAGGCATAACTTACGTAGGCCCCAGCTTGTCAATCGTTAAGATGAAAGCAATCCTCGATCCAACTTTTCAACCGATTGTTGACAAATATCCGGAACTCAATTGCCCATCTAACGATCTCCCGTGTATAACCAGCAATGTTATGCACCACATCATAACCTCAGGACAGCCCGTGACATCTAAAGCACGACGACTGGCCCCTGACAAACTGAGAATTGCTAGAAATGAGTTCGATCATATGCTCACCCTTGGCATCATTCGGCCATCGAATAGTCCATGGGCATCCCCATTGCATATGGTACCGAAAAAGGATAGTAACGATTGGCGACCCACTGGTGATTACCGGCGAGTGAACGCCAAAACAACTCCTGATTGCTACCCTTTGCCTCACATACACGACTTGACGGCAACGTTATCTAGAGCATCTATATTCTCCAAAATCGACTTGGTTAAAGCATATAACCAAATCCCGATGGCAACGGAAGATATTCCGAAAACGGCTATCATAACGCCTTTCGGACTTTTCGAATTCCTACGTATGCCATTCGGCCTCCGGAATGCGGCCCAAACATTCCAACGCCTCATCGATGAAGTATTTCGCGGTCTCGACTTTGTATACGCATACTTAGATGACTGCCTCATTGCCAGTCCAGATAAGGAAACTCACCTTAGACACTTGGACTTGGCATTTGAAAGGTCACGCCAACATGGTGTTACCATCAATATACAGAAGTGTCAAATAGGCGTTGATTCACTCGATTTTCTGGGTCACACTATTGACTGTCAGGGCATACGCCCACTGGCTACTAAAGTCGATGTGATACTGAACTTTCCGGAGCCAAAGACAGTGAAAAGTCTTCGCACTTTTAACGGCTTGGTAAGTTATTACCGACGATTTATCCCTAACTGTGCTTCTCTGATTCAGCCATTAACAGACCTCCTTCGAGGGAATAACAAGTCTATCGAACCCGACGCGTCTTCTCGACATGCTTTTACTCAGGTAAAGAAAGCTATTGCGGATGCCACCCTTCTTATGCATCAGGATCCAACAGCACCGTTAAGTATCTCAGTTGATGCATCAGGCACTGCAATCGGCGCAGTTCTGCAAGAACTAGTTAACAACGAGTGGCAACCACTCGCCTTTTCCTCGAGGCGCCTTCAATTAGCTGAAACGAAGTACAGCACATTTGGAAGAGAACTTCTAGCTATGTACTGTGCTATACGCCATTTTTGACATTCAGTTGAGGGTCGTGAATTCATAATTTTCACTGACCACAAACCTCTGACGTACTCTCTGAACTCAACCTCAGATAAGTATTCACCCAGGGAATCACGACAACTAGATTACGTTTCACAGTTTGCATCAGATATTCGCCATGTATCCGGAGTGAACAACACTGTGGCAGATGCCTTGTCACGTATTTGTTCCTTCTCCCAAATCGACGGCATAGACCTTGTAAAACTGGCTCGTCTTCAAAAAGAAGATACCGAGCTTCAGCATGAGTTGTCGAAAACAACTCTACAATTAGCCGAGAAACCCTTAGGTATAGGAAAAGATACTATTCTCTGTGACATTTCCACTAGTACTCCTCACCCTATTGTGCCTAAAAGTTATCGCCGTAACGTCTTCAACACGTTGCATGGCTTATCACACCCAGGTATTCGAACTACCGTCAAACTCGTAACTAGTCGGTTTTGTTGGCCTGGTATTAATAAGGAAGTAAGGGAATGGGCACACACGTGCTTAGCTTGCCAAAAGTGCAAGGTAGTAAGACACACCAAAAGCCCCCTTGGCACCTTTCTTCTCCCCGATGCCCGCTTCGAACACCTCCATATAGATTTAGTTGGCCCCCTTCCAGAATCTCATGGATATACCTATATGTTAACCTGCATCGATCGCTTTACACGATGGCCTGAAGCAGTACCCCTCAAAGATATATCTGCGGAAACCGTCACACGCGTCTTCGTAGAAAGATGGATCGCAAACTTTGGATGCCCATCTTCCATAACAACTGATCGTGGGCGGCAATTCGAAAGCGGTTTATTCTTCGCTTTGATTAAAATCCTTGGTTGCATGTGTTTTCGAACAACAGCCTACCATCCTCAAGCTAATGGTATGGTAGAACGTCTACACAGACAGTTGAAAGCTGGTTTATCAGCTGCAAATAACACCCATTGGACTGAATTCCTTTCGTTAGTTCTCCTAGGGATACGAAACGCTTTAAAAACCGATGCTGGTTGTACTACCGCTGAGATAGTATTTGGCACGACACTACGACTGCCAGGTGAGTTTGTTTCTCCCTCGAGCTTCCCACCAGTGGTAGATCACACCTCATACGTCAGCAGGCTTACAAACGCAATGCGTTCAGTTAAACCTGCTCCCTCTCGACCACAGTCCATAGATGTCTTCGTTCACCCCTGTTTAAAAACTTCTTCACACGTATTTGTTCGTCGCGACTCTGTGCGTCGCCCTCTAGAACCCCCGTATGACGGACCTGCAGTACCCCTATACCAACTATAAACATACGTTTTTAATCTAATTTGCATACTCGTATTATATGTTTACACAGACCGATTTTATATGTACTTCGTAAACATTTGTCAATTTACTGTTGAACGTTACCTTGATACAATTTTGAAATTTGACTACTGCTATAATACACGATTACACTCTTCACAAGTGCCTTCTGATTTTACGTTGTGGGCGTCGAGTAGCCACAACGTCTGCGCACATTGATAAACGTGAAGAAGTACTAGGAAATACGTGTACGCTAATTTAGTCAAATAGAACACGCAACAAATTGGTGAGCCCGACGTGATTGACGTACAAGCTATCAAAGATTATCCGTTACCAGATTCTTTTAAGAAATTACGGCGATTTTTGGGTCTCGTTAATTTTTACCGGCGTTTTATTCCGAACTGTGCTAAAGCCAAAATGACGCCCCCTGTCTCTCATGACAGTCGCTTCAGACGTTGCCATTGGGGCAGTTTTACAACAGCAGGTACACGGCGAATGGCAACCTCTTGCATTCTTTTCGAAACGACTGAATCCTACTCAGTGTCGCTATAGCACTTTCGGTAGAGAGTTATTAGCTGTTTATTTAGCAATCAAGCACTTTCGACATAAGCTGGAAGGTACAGCTTTTACTGTCTTTACAGACCATAAAGCTCCTACGAAAGCCTTATCAGCAAAACAGGATAAC